GGGACACGTGTCAGAGCGCATCTGTCCCCCCGCGCCCCCGCACCTTTCTGACGGGGGGAATGGCCTCGGGGGTCCCCCCTATGAGAACAATGCGTGCCCAGGATCAGTGTGGGACTCCCATGGGCTGAGCCATCCAGCCCCACCGGGGGGTACCGGGGGGTACCGGGGCTCCCACCCCATCACCTCGCTGTGCCCCAACACGCCGTGAAGGTCAGAGGCAAGGACGGTCCCCCCGGGTGCTGCCTCAGCACATTCCCTGCCCGGCCAAGCGTGAGGAATGGGGAGGCTTTGTCGGGGATTAGGCGCTGGCTTCGGGTCATCGTCCCAATTCCTCGCCAGCCCCAGCACCCCAACACCGGGCACGGGGTGCGGGCACAGCCTGGCAAGGCAGCAGAGTGATCCCAGCCACGAGGCAGTGCCACGGGTTCAGAGCCCGGCCCTGTCTGCGAGCACCTTATCTCGGTGTATGGATCCACCTTATCTCGGTGGATCCCTGATGACTCCCACAAAACCACCTGCCACAAACAGAGTGGGCACGTGGCTCACGTGGGTCACACCCCACGGTTCCTGGGGTTCATGGGGTTCCTGGGGTTCACTTGCACTCCCAGCTCAGCGTTGGTGGCTGCAGGGGACACGGCCAGGGAGCCCCGGCTGGCGCGTGCCCGGCGGCACTGCTGGCACTGCTGGCTCTGTCCTGGTGTCTCACATCCACTTGGCAGCTCCTGTCGAGGCCACACCAGTGCCTGCCAAGGGCTTGCAGGGATTAGATGGGCACAAGGATGTCTTGCCTAGACAGCTTTGTCCAGTGTCACCTCAAAGACAGCAGAGCCACAGGGTCCCTTTGTGTCCCTGCTGCATGTCCCTGTAGGCAGCACCTGTGGTCTCCCACCCCAGTGTCCATCAGGGATGGTGCATGGACACCCTCTCCTCCCCCTGGGCACAGTGATGTGTAGGCCAGAGGTGATGGTGACTCCTGGCCAGCCTTGTCACAGGCCAGGCTGCCTTTTGGCTGGGTCCTTGTGTCCGCTTCATGCTGCTCCTCTGTCCTCGGGGACAGCTCTCAGGAGGAACAGCCCAACCTGGGGCCCCAGCAGGATGGGGACCCCTCAGGGGGGCTGCCTGTCCCCCTGTCCTGACTCACCGAGGTGGCTGCTGGGGCCATTTCCTGTGGAGCCCCAGGGCTGCACATCT